CTTAGATAAAACCAAAGTCTTTCTTGAACTAAACACGACCTTTGCTACTTGCGTAATCAAATGTTGACACATGCATGATGCCCTTGAGAAATCTTTGTAGTTCTAATGGCTGTAAAATCCTAGCCTATCTCCACATGACCGTTCCTGATTATGAGAATAAGTATCCTCTATGTTTGAAATCAATGTACCCTGTACGCACCTTATTAGTAGTAATAAATAAATAAATAAATAACAAAAAAACAAAATGAGAACGCAAAAAGAGGTGGGATTTCATGGTCAAAAATTAGGGTGCAACACCTACGAGATCATGTACTTCAAGGAGATGTCGAGATAACATTTGTAGATACTCATAATCAGCTTGCCGATATATTCACGAAACCTTTGGCAAAGGAATTCTCGATGAAGGTGACATCTAAACTCTTCATAAGTTAATGTGTGTAGAATCTATGTTTTCCAACTTGCTTACTTACTATTTTTTAACCATTTTTCTGAAATTTTGAAGGTGTTAATCGATTAACCCCCAGGGTTAACCAATTAACACTGTTAATTTTTGTTTCTGAATTAATTTTTTTTTGTGTTAACCGATTAACCTATGGGTTAACCGATTAACACTGTTAGATTTTATTTTGAAAATTAATTTTTAAATGCGTTAATCGATTAACCCCCACGGTTAACCGATTAACACTGTTCGTTTTTCAAAAATCAGAAATGAAAATTGGTCCAAATTTTGGTAAATGGGTTTTAAGTGCTTTTTATGTGTGGTGCATGTGCTTTTTATGTGTGGTGCATGTGCTTTTTAATCAATTCAACCACTATCCTTGGGAAACATCTTCTTCTTGTTTGACTACAAGTAAATACACTTTTCCAACTTCTACCTAATCATAACTCTCACTTAATACCCACTAAAACCTCTCTTTATATAAACCTCTCCTACTTTATCTTCTTCATCACACTTAAACCCTAAAAATCCAAAAGAACCTCAAACCATCAAAAACTCAAAAAACCCTCAATGACTCCCAACAAAAAAGGAAAAGGCAAGCTACCGGAAAACAGTTCTGCAGTTGATGAAGACTTTGCTCCCATGGAATCAACAAAAAAGCGCAGAATGGATTTTAAAGTCCGGGTTCGTCAACTCTTCCCGCTAAAATACGTTAATCTTAAGGCTTTTCCTGCTCCTACTTTTGATTTCCCGGCATTATTGAAATATCAAAAGATCAATAACTTTGTTGTTGATAACGGACGGTGCTATCCGGATTTAGTCAAATATTTTATGAACAAATTGTCAAATCATTTCAATGAGAATGAATAACACGTGTTGGTTACTTTTGTTCGCGATTTTGAGTTGAATGGAGATTTATCACAAATTGCTGCATCTCTCAAAATCCCGTACACAGGATTTTTTCTCCGGAAAGGTGTAAATCATGTGGAAGGACCCTGGGCAAACTACGATAAAATGGAATATTATTATCGTATCTACAGGTTTCCAAGAGAAGCTGTTATTCCGATTCAAAGGGCTGCTCGCACACTTTGTTACGTCAAGAATCTGACTGTCAATGATCGGATGCTGCATTATATTATATGTTATGTCTTGATTCCGAAAGACTCGAATAATTCTCAAATTAATGATTTGGAGATGCAACTGATATTTGCTATCAAGAACAGGATTAAAGTCAATTGGATTCTAACCATGATGTACCATCTTCAGCAACAACTCACCTTGTCCACTCGGCTTCTATATAAACGGCTAATCTCAAGAATCCTCGAGCTAACAAATTTGGATCTGAACTGAGAACCTGCAATTACCCTGAAACCGACAGCGAACGAAATTAATGAAATTACAATTATCAAAAATACCGGCATTGTGAAAGATACAGATGGAACATACAAATGTGCAGAAGACGACTCTTCTTCCACAAACCACTCATATCCTATTCCGAAAGGTGGCATCACCAATGAATTTCTCTATATTACTATGATGAATCAGCATAGAGAAACCACTCGGGCGATCACCTCTCTCCGAAGCCTTGTGCTTAACTCTCAAGCTTCCAATACCGGATACAATGAAGATGAGGACAGTAGTGAAGAGGAAGAAGATGACAATGAGGATATGTCGGATGATAAAAATTGAAAAGCGCCTTTTTATGTTTTTTGCTTTCTAGACTTTGTTTAAAGTTTAAGTTCTATATTTCGTATTTGTATTAGCAATCGTACAATGTGCGTTTCATTTCGTATCGTATCAAAAGTTCTGTTTTAATGTGATAAGTGTTTGTGATTATGTGCTTACTATGTATGCTTGTTTAGTTTCACTCTTCTTGCACCTCTTCCTTTTTGCTAATGACAAAGGGGGAGAAGGATTGGTCTCTAACATTTATCTGTGCAGAAATATTGTATCTCTCTTGTATTTAGGGGGAGCTCTCTAACTTAGGGGGAGAAATGAAGAGAACCAAGTATCAAAAGCAAAATGTTCAAGAATCGGTTGTCATCATCAAAAAGGGGGAGATTGTAGAAGCAAGCTTCAAGGTCTTTATGTTTTGATGAAGACAACTAGTACAAGCTTGGTACGCAAGATACTTATACTATATACCCGTAGAGGTATATATTGAAGATAAAACCAGAAGCACCTTTCTTCTGAATTCTTCGCAAAAAAGTAAGAGACGCAAGCATTCAATCAAGAACATCAAAGATCAAGGAAGTACACTCGCATATGAATCTATGGATTAAAGTTTCGTCTACAAGCTACAAGTGATGATGATGATTCAAAGGAACGGTATAACATATTTTACTTAGAAATATTTATACAAGTGTTCTTAAAAATCACTTTTCACTTCACAATTATCACTAACACTTCAAAACCATTTTAAAATACTCTTTCTTGTTAAAAATAAACAATTTCTAAAGAAAAAAACCTTCAGTGTTAATCGATTAACACATTGGTTAACCGATTAACACACTTTAATTTTAAGTATTTTGGAATTTCATAACAGTGTTAACAGATTAACCTGTGGGGTTAACCGATTAACACAAGATTTTTTTTTTAATATTTTAACATTGTGAAGGTGTTAACCGATTAACCTATTTGGTTAACCGATTAACACTGTAACAACAAGCAAAAATGGCAGCTGTTCATGAAAAATTGCATTATTTAATATTTTTATTGGCTATTTTTGCTGCATCAAAAACACACCCTTTTGAACAGGTTTCTGATGCATATAAATTACTCTTAATTTCAAAATTACAATTAAGCTTCTAGAAACAAATTCAATCAAATTACTCACTTTCTTCAAATCTGAATTTTCATTCTAAGTGTTCAAAACCAATTTTGAAAGAAGCCATTGATTTAACTTTCACACTCTCACAGCCTTCTTTTACAAAGAACACTTGTATATTTATCTGAGTAACATTTGTTTTAAGAAGAAGATCAGTCTTGAAGATTGATAACAACTCTCTGTCACATATTTCTCATGAACATTTTTTGTATTACCTTGTTGTCCAGGACTGTTGGAAACAAGTGAAGTGTCTTGAAGAGGATTGTTCTTCATTCACTTTGATTACCTATAGGTTTAGATAGTAAGCATCACCTTTGGAGTGATTAGGCTTTGCAATTATTATGAACTATAGTGAAATTCTCTTTCGTGTTGAAAGGGGAGTGGAGTACCTTCGGAGTGTGAAGGGAAGCACTATAAATCTCTTGTGTCTCTTTTTCTTTCCTGCCTTTACTTTCAAGCCATTAACTAATAACCGAAAAAGAACCAAGGAACCATACAAGATTGCAAATAATTATTTAAGAACCTAATTCACCCCCCCCCCCCCCCCCTCTTAGGCACAATTACAACTTACAAACAAGTTATAAGAAAAATGGATATCCAAGTTCAACAACAACATTTCCTCAAACTTCGGAGCCAAAATGGATCAAACAAACTATCCAAACACAACGCAACAACAACTTTCCCAAGTTCCAACCGAATCAAACGCAAGTTTCCAGCCAAAACAAATCAACAAAGTTCCTGAAAAATCCCAACAAAACCAGCAAGCAAAACGCAAGCATTTTCGTTCCTCAACCAAGTCGTAACAATCATAACAACAAGTCCCAAATCGCAGCATCCAAATCTGTAAGAGGGAGTCAAAGAAATCAACAAATCAGCCATACAAATTGCAACAATAACATGCAACCCAAGCGCACAAAAAATCAAATCAAGCATTATAAATACATCATCAGTTCGTAAGGAAAGGCGGGGGGGAAGAAGTTCATGAATTCATCAAAGTTCGTCAAGAAAGAGGGGGATCATCAATTCGGATCAGAAAAAGAATAAAAAGAAGGACTCGAAGAACCATAAACACAGCAAGCCCAAAACGTCAAAAAAAGAGATTTGGAAGCCACCAAAAAACGCAGCATCAACCACCGAGCAGATCCGCGAACCCTAGATCTTTTCCCGCATTATGTTTACGATACAAAAATAGGTTTTTCCTTTCTTTAATCTTTCCTTCGGATAAATCAAAGACCGGCTGTAAATCAAAGATTTGTTATTCAAATTAATTAATAATTTGATATCTTATTCTCACCGCAACAAATATAAATATATTTTATAATTGAAGACAAAAAGACGAACAACTATATTAGAATATTCCTAATTCATATAGTAATAGGCAAATCTATACCATAAAGATCAAGAATCATATTTATGTGGCATTCAGTTATTTTTTTAAACTTCTAAGAGGCAAAGTTTTAAAAAATTTCATGATACAGCGTTTTTTTAATAATTGAAGGATCTATGATATAAGCTTAAATAAACTTACATATGTTATTATCATTAAAGTAAATCATAAGAGTTTCATAAATATAATATACATGATATTGTAGGACTAGTTGTAGTAGTATAAGAAACCCAGTAAATTTCGTTGAGTTTTACCATGGGAGATCCTCTTAATAAACTTACATATGTTATTATAATTATAGTAAATCATAAGAGTTTCATAAATATAATATACATGACATTGTAGGACTATTTCTCCTCAATCAAATTAATGCTAAAATCCCAGAGTTTCTTAGCCAAATCAGCATCCCTCCCTTGTGAGGTTGCTTTGCCCAAATTACTGTCTGAAAAATATTCACCACTAACTCCCTTCACTTGAGGGTGCAATGCTACGTAGCATGTTGTAGCTGCTCCCTACATTTAGATAGGAGAAAGTGAACATGCAACTAATTAAATTAAGAAAAATTAAATACAAGATATACCAAGAAAAATAGTACATCATTTATTGAAAGGGCAATTTCATAATAAATGTTTTCTAACAACCAATATTTATGAGTTAATAACAAACCATACATGTCCCTCACATTTACAAATCAGGTCATATTTATTGACATACCTGCTGAGCATTTTTCATCGCAAATCTGCCAACCATATTTACTATACCTGCAAAGTCACAACACAAATCAATGACAGATAGATGAATGAAAACTTTTCTCACCGTAAAATCCACAAAAAGTAAATAAATAAATAAAAGTTTAGGCAGCTGACATGAAGCTAAAATGAAACAACCAAGAAAGATAATGCGACATGACGGTAGATAATGAAGAACAATAACTCAGAATGCCACATCACAGTACTTGTTTAGTTTCTAGACGAAACATGTTTGGCATAAATAGTACAATATAATAGTTACCGTTGATTACACTGGTATGACGATAAAGATTGGTCACAATGGCTCCTGGATGAAGAGAATTTGCAATAATATTCACCCCATCATCCTGATCAAGATGTAACAAGTAATGTATTATAAATCAAAGATACTACTGTGGCCAAATTAAAAAAAAACACTTTTACTCGCAAAATAAGAGAAAAAAAGGCCACCAATAAAAGAGAGGGAGAGTGGAAAAGTAAACAGAATGTTTCTATGATTACAGTTGCTAAACGGGTTGCAAAGTTTGTGTCTGTTTCAGAGACCAGAATGGAGAGACTAAAACACAAACAACTAAAACATTTCCCAAATACGATCCTGTTTCAATAAACAACCGGACTTGCAGCTTATATCATAAATGTTTATCATGATAAGCTCTTCTGTATAAGTTATTTTTATAGCAAAGTTAAATTGTTTTCATATAAGATATAAGCTGTTTTCATAAACTATTTTGGAGAGCTTATAAAAGTAAGCTGAAATCAGCTTATAATAAACTGTTTTCATAAGTTCTCAAAATTAGTTTTACATGTGTTTATGCCATTAAATAAGCTCAAATAAATGGATCCAAAGAGACCCTGGGTGGAATTGGAATAGAAGAGAAACTTTCTATAAGTGACCAGCAAGATAAAGGGACTTTAAGTGTGAAGACAAATGCTGTAAAAAACAAGCAATTATAAATCAAATTATGTCATTCACTATGTTCACGCTGCAGAAGAAAATAGTTTGACACAGTATAAATCTGCTAATCTAATGCAACAGTACTTCTAAAAATAATAATAATAGAATTGGTGACATTGGAATCAAGGTTGAAATATGCAAGAGCATCTATTTATCATTAATCAGCCAGAAGTTACGATAATGAAAGATAATAACACTAACTTAAAATGCTTTCCAATGGCCAAATAAAATATTGCATAATGGTTTAGAAAACACTATCGATAAACTATTTCACTAGATAATATGTCGATTACACCCGCGTACAAGAGAAAGAAACATACTTTGAGACGTTTTGCAAGTTCGTTGGCATGTAAAATGTTAGCAAGCTTTGACTGTCCATATGCACGCCAGTTGCTGTAACTGTATACAAGGAAGCAAACATGATTAAATAGGAATTACATTTCTCCGATCAACCGATATTACAAAAATACAAAGTCCTCTCTTAGTTCTTCATGCAACTAAGGCGAGTTACTGTTTCAACTGTAAACAAGGAATTGAACATAACTATATATGCACAACACCTCTCCTTTCAACAAGATTCACAACTCCATTGTAGGTTCATGTTAGGAATCAGTAATAATTTCCAAACAATAATAAACACTATGCAAGTAGAGGAAATTTAAGAGACATTTAAATTAAAACTACTCTCTCACATAAAATAAATTCCTCTTCTATGTTAAAAAAACTTAGAGCACATCTCATCACAATTTGAAATAAGGTTACCTATTACCTTGATTGATCATTGATTTTGTCAAAACGAATTCCTTCAGAATACGCAAATCTGTGAGCCTCTGAGGAGACATTAACAATTCTTCCTTCTTTGTTACTTTCATGTGCTGTTTTCTTCATAGTGTCCAACAAAAGATGTGTCAAGAGAAAATGACCTATAAACAGAATGATCACATATTCTCAGTCTAAGCATTAAAAGAATCAGTAAAACATAACCTGGCAAATAATTGATGTTTCAAAAATAACAAAAAATTAGTAAAGCCGAAGTTCTGTCTCACTATCAGTCATGAAATGAAGTAAGAATCAAACATGTTTCCCACATACCTAAGTGGTTTGTGGCAAATTGTTGTTCAATCTTGTCCTTGGACAGCATGAAAGGGCACGCCATAATACCCGCATTGTTTCTTACAATTACAAATAAATAAACAAGAAAACATTACTACTTCTGGTTTCCCAACATCATTGACTTTTTTTAAAGATAAAAGACTAAGGGCCTGTTTGAATAAACATCTTATTTGCAGCTTATAGCACAAGTGCTTATGAATAAGATATTTTTATAACAAAAGATAAAATAAATCTAAATTATTTTTATATAAAGTTTTTTTTATTAGCTATTTTAAAGAGTTTATAAAAATAAGTTCAAAAAATATATATACCAAAAATGTTATAAGCTGTTTTATTAAGTCTCCTACACAGTGTCTCAAAACTTATGGTAGCAGGTAAGCTAAAAAAAGTCCATCCAAACAGATGAAAGAGAGACTAATTTGACACGAAAAAAATACAACAAATTTGTTTGAAACTTTAAATTAAGTTAAAGGGCTCGATGCTCATGATACATACAGTTAAACCTAAAGAAAACTGAGATTGGGATCAAGTCAATTCATTTTCTTACATCAAGATGTTCAATGGTAGACCAGAGGAAATAAACTCTGATGCAAATTTCTTAACAGATACCATTGAACTAAGATCCAACTCCATGACATCAATTTTCGCCGAGGGAATCTCCTTAAGTATTGCTTCTCTAACATCTCTAGCAGCAGCCGTATTTCTAACGGCCATAATCACATGAACACCATGTAAAGCAAGAACACGCGTAGTCTCAACACCAATACCACTGGATGCTCCTATCATAGCAATAATCCTGATTATGCAAATTTCAACAGCAATAATCTTGAACTAAATTATATAGAGTTAACTACAAAGAGCATTAGTTCAATTTAGGGTTTGGATCTTCATAAAAAAGCTTCTAACTACATAAATAATTAAGGAAGGAAAAAAAAAAGTTCAGAGGATGAACCAGTAACAATAGCAGTGAGGCCAGTTGCATCGATTCCATGAGTAACTTCTTCCGCAGTTGATGAACTAGAAAATCCAGAAACCCCTTTTCTGCTGAATGGCCACATGGTGATTATGTTGATAATCTCTTTCTCCGTCGCAATTTCCAGAAATTACGCTGTAATTGGATATTATAACATGATTTGATTCCACTAAGTATTTTATACTATAGTTATTTAATTAAGTTTTGTATATGATTTATGCTTTTAGGTTAATTTAATATTTAAGAAAATATTTAAATATCATTTAAGTTTTATTTGAATTCATGGAAAATGAAATGGCATGAAATAAAATAAAATATTTAAATATGGTAAATTCTTAAATGGCATGATAAATAATTGGGTACCCTACATTTAGTAGAAACTAATTTAAAATATGAATTTAATTTAAATAAAATAAATATAAAAAGTGATATAATATTGAACTTTTTTTGAATAAAAATATCAATATTCAATTAAATCCAAACATGTTCTTTGTTCTATTGGATAAGAATATTTTAGTTTATAAAGAAAAACCTAACAATATCACTTTTGTAATTAAATTAAACTTTTAATAATTAAATTAGGATTTTTGAGCTAATATTTGCATACATTTAAATTTCTAGTGGTTTTTATAAAACATAAATAAATAATTGAATTGAGAAAAAAAAACTTATAAAACATAAACAAATAATTGAATTAAAAAAAAGACTATTATATGTTTGTCCTTTTACTTCTATAATGTGATTTTATGATATTTTTGTTCTCAATTGTATTTAAAAATGGTGAATACTGTTATACTCTTAAATTCAGTTAGATATCGGTATTCTTATTCAATAAAGTATTCATATTTAATGTCATGTTATTATTTATATATATTTTATTTAAAAATAAATTAATATTTTAAATTTATATTAAAGATATCGATACCCAATTATTTATCATGAGTACCTAAGAATTTACCTTTAAACATTACTAATCGAAAAAATAGACAAAAAAATTTGGTCCTCATGGGTACCTAAGAATTTTACTTTAAAAATTACAAATCGAAAAAATAGACAAAATTTAATCCACCCAATGCATATCTAAAATTGAGAATTTTTTATTACACCCTATGTGTTTCTTAGACACCATGCGAATTTTCTATACTGTCTCTAATTTTCAGAGATATATCTCTGGACGCACCCTTTTCACACTCAAGGAAGGTCATTCTGCAAGGCGCCCCATGCATTTGCTATAGATTTATTTCTGAGATATATCTCCGGAATAATATGTAGTTATATTTCCAGAACAAAATCAGAGACATAATCAACCTAAGAAGAACTTTCCAAACATAAAATTAGCATTACAATGATGATTTCAACAGAAAATTAAATACTACATTTCAATATTCCGGTGGAGGCTTGCACATCTCCAAGATATCGTTGACTGATCTTCCTAATGTCGCTTCCAACTCGAGCACAAATTTTTCTTCGAAACCGAAAAACGTTCGCCACATCACCATTACATCTGCTCGAGTCTTGAGCTCAAATTTACTGAACACAATGTTCTATTCGTTGTCAACTGAGCGTGAGTGGTACTAAAGTTTGACAACCCTTAGTGTGTCTTCGTAAGGTAAGAGATAGTGAATTTCGTTTATGATATCGTCGAGGGAGGTGAGATCCGTGAGCTTGAACGTCCTTTTGGGTGTAGAGGCGTCGAAGTAGGAGACATTTGCAGCATACCAATTGATGTTTATTTCACACATTTGAGACATTTTGAGTTTGTGTGAAGTATAACACAAGAACACCCAATTTTATAGAAGACATAGTTCAATAAAGACCAATCATTGAATGTCATTCATACTCTGCGGAACGACACCATTATCTTGTTCAGAAGATGCATCTCCGGAGCTTACAAAGCAAATAAAAGAATCTTTCATAGATGTATCTCCAGAACTTTTCCTGATACATTTTTAAAACAGAATCATATGACAGAGAGTTGAGAAAGACCAAATATGCACCAAATATGAATAATAAGTGAATATGTAACACTTCATTTATATTGAGACACGCTTATATACAATTATTTAGCTGATTACAAAAAAAATCAAAACGAATCAAAACATGTGTCTCCAGATAAATCTATAGGTGGTACCCCCTTTGACTTTTGTGCATTCGATTCCTTTTCAATATTGGTCAATCAATCGAATTCTTGCATCCTTTCTATAAAATGATTCAGCCATGTCTCTACATTTGCGGTTAAATGATTCGTCCATTCCAGTGATGTAGGTGGTATGAGGCATCCCGATTTCAAGTAAACTTGAACAAAATGACTTGATTTTGAAAGTCATCCAATACACATGATGCGATCATTTGAATTTTGGGGGTGGTGCGGTGCGTAGTGGAAAAAAGGTTTCTAAAAACCCGTAGTGTGTTAGGTCAATGCACACCCTATCTTATGCAGATGCAATTAAGTGACCCATATTCGAGAAGCTCATCCACTTTGACTCTGATGATGAACCACTCAAGCAAGGAACAAGTGACTCATAAACTGCATCAAAATTTTCTTTTTCTCCGTAAAACCATGTGTATGATTCCTTATGTGTCTTCAACTCTTGGATAAGTTGATGACGGACTAGCGCATGACTACCTTCTCCCTTACCAAGTAAAGTCGAACAGCTCGGTAACCACCGCAATTACTGTCTCCTGCAACATTGACGATACGATCGATATATTTATGCACAATTCATGGTTATGCACGCCACAAATGACATTAAATCTCCATTTTTTGTTAGCCAACATGTAACCACAAAGCTTAAACGGACACTCACATTTTTTACTACCTGTGTCTTCTCTCTTAAAATTCCAGAAAGAAGTTCGATATTTCCCGCTTCTTTCGCACAACATAGTCACAAAGGCGTTTCTTCTATCTGAGCCATTATCCGACCTTCCGATAACCACACCAAATCCAAGTCTAGATGCCACCATACGAATCTATTCGAGCATGTTATCACGATTTTCAAACTCTTGCTTATTATTAAATTCATCGAACATCTACCGCCTTAACAACAACCCCTTGAATATTCAGAGAAATTTTGTTCGAAGAAACTGCTTGTTTTGAGATATTATCGGAGTGTATTGTATCTATTGGAAACAATAAAAATAGTAAAAAATAATTAATCTAGTGCTGCAGAAAAGGATGAAAAATGAACACAGAAACATTTCAGAAATATATCTTCGAAAAAGTTCATGTTCAGCATGTTTCAGAGATACATCTCTGAACACTGCGTAAATTTTTTTCAGGAAAGTTTCATGATTAATATGAGCAATGCAGAAGAGAATGAACAATCTTTACCAGGAATTCAATCTTTTTTTACTCCATGTGATATGTTGAACCAAAATGACAGAGATTTGGAGTGAAAAATGGGATTGATAATGTAGAGTTTTTAGGGTGAGAGTTTGAATTGAAATGAAGAATGACAACAATGGGGGCGATGATCATGCAATTTGAAACTATATCAGATAGTTTCGAAGATATATCTCCAGAACAATCTAACATGCAAAAATGACAGAAAAATTCAAATTGTTGCTCACATCTTTCAGAGATATATCTCCGAAACTTTCACTGAACTGATTAATATTCATATTTTCTCTAAATCATTCCGAAGATATATCTTTCTTAAGTGTGAAAATGATGCGTCTAGACATATATCTCTGAAAACTATAGAGATTATAAAAAATCTGGATGAAATCAACTTGATATTTTAATCCAACCCTTTATGTGATATGTGATGCCATACCACTCTTGTCAAATTAGAGTTAAAATTTAAGTAATTATATGACTATGACATTATACCTATATTCTGTCACATTAAAAAAATAATTATATGACCATGACATTATACCTATATTCTGTCACATTAAAAAAATTTAAATTATATGACTATGACATTATACCTATATTCTGTCCCATTAAAAAAAATTAAATTAATTATATGACATAATAAAATAATTAGACAGTTTTAAATTAATTATATGATATTTGAAAATTTTAAACTAATTATTCGTAAATTAAATTAAAAATTTTAAACTAATGGAAGACACTAATCACGGTTAAAGCAAAAAAAAATTCTTTAAAAATATCAATTATTATAACTTCTAATGCATTAAATATATATATTTAAATAAAAAACTAACATTTTAAAACTCTGAGTGTCCCTCAGCACTCAGCATTTCCTTATAAGATAAATCTCATAACAACATAATAGTGTATATTTATACGTCAAAACATAATTACAATGCAAACATGATACACTAATCAACAAGAAAATCATGGTACAAGACCTTATACATCAAAACATACATACATAAACAACAACAACAACAACAACATCCTCTAGCCACCTAATTATTCCTTAATTAACTTTCTGGCTAGAATAATAAGCCTTAAAAACCCTAGGAAGATAAACAGGAACCAAAAATCCAAACAAATTAAAACACCAAAAAGCCATATTCGCCACAGCAAGTGCTCTTCCAGCATAAATCCTTCTATAAGAGCCACTGTGTTCTTCATCCACCTTGTAAATCTCATCTCTCAACCAATCCACAATAGTAAAAACCCTTCTCGCATTATACAAAACAGGAACAAAAGCTCTTATCGGAGACGAAAATCCATCAGAAAAAGCCACACCTTCCATAAAAACTTGACTGGCCAGAAGAAAAACATGTGGTGTAGCTGCGGCTATACCTTTCTTATCACCCTCGATTATTCCATGTAGAATATACGCTATAGGAGCGTAGAGTCCAATGATTGCTCCAACCAGAACATAGAGTTTAAGGATTTTGTTCTGTCGGTTGAAAATAGGTTGTTCGTTGGAAGGGTGAAGAGTTGGAAACACGGTTTTTGATATGAAGTACATGTAGAAGATCGAGAAGAGTACGAACGCGAAATCTTGAGGACTGACCATGCCACTGGCGGATAACACGACAACAACAGCTAAACAATTGAGTTGTCGGAATGAGAGGAAAGTGGATTTGTTTTGTGGTTTGTTGAGATTGTTGTTCTTGAGAGATTGGTCGTGTTGTTCTTTGTGTACGAGTTCTTCATCTTCTTTTGGTAGGCTAATGTCACCGACAGTTGGTCCAACTCCACCAGACATGTTTTTGATGAGGTTATGAAACAAAGGAAAATGTTGTAGGTTTTTTTTCTTTGAGAGAAGAGAATTAAGAGAAGAAGTAGCAAGATAAGGGTAGATTAAGTTATGGGGTGGAATGGTTTACAAATGTCATGTAAAGAGGTAAGATTGGTGGCTTGAGAAACTCACAAATGTCATGTAAAGGGGTAAGGTTAGTGGCTAGATTAAATTGTGGATGTTAGTGTTTTATGTTTGGTGGTGGTGGTTAATTCCAATTCAATGCCTAGAAATTCGGTTTCACACTAGTTATAATTTTGTATCTACTCCACAAGAAAGGAATGAGGGTTTGATTTTTATTTTATATTTGTGACTATACCAAAAAGAAGTAAGAGATATTTAAATAAGAATGGATCGACATTGACAAGTCCAAATTTACTAATGAGTTAGAACATTCAAATCAATAATTAAAAAAATAAGATATTATGGTCTTGGTTTGGGTGGTACGTTACTTTAAATAAAATGATGTAGTCATTTTTTATTTTTTATTTTTCTCATTGTAACATATTTGTTTTAGTTTTATAAATTTATATTGTTTGAAAAATAGTTATTTATTTTACTTTTTCTGAAATAAGTTTTTCAAACTTCTACTAAAGAAAAATCAACTAATTGAACCAAAACAACATATTCTTTGTCGATTTGTATTTTGAGAAATATTACAAAAACTTAACAATCTAAATTGACTATTTGTTGCACGTTAAAATCAAAATAATGCATCACATACAATCTAGTTAAACTTATTTTATTTTCTTGACTACTTTTACACTAATTTTTACATCTAATACTTATATCATCTACTATCGTATTTATATGATAAATAATATTTTTATTTTTTATTAATAAATAAAAAATATTTATAAATAATATTTTTACTTTTAAAATTATTTTATAATTCAAATATAAAATTTGTTATTAATTAAATCTATTATTGATTAACCACAAAAATATAGGTTATTAACCACATTTACAATTTATTAACTTAGTTTACTACTTCATAAATCAATAAATTACATTACATTAACCCAAGTTCTGATATTAAAATACAAAATATAATAATTAGTTTTTAAACTCTATTAATCAATTTTATTTGTTTCATTTTATATATTTCATAATTTAATATCAAAATTTAGTTAATAAAGTGTGAAAATTGATTGTTACATTTTATAATCTAATGTTAGATTTAATTAATATTATGTATTTTATTAGTTAATGAAGTGAAAATTTGATTAAAGAGTTATAAATAAAATATATGTGGTTAATAACTTGTATTTTTGTGATTAACGCAATAAATAATAAAATTGAGTAATGATAAATTTTATATTTTTGTTATAAAAATAATTTTAAAAATAAAATAATTTTTTTATAAATATTAATTTTTTATTTATTAAAAAAGTATTATTTACGGTATAAATATGGTAAATAATATTTAATATAAATATTTAATGTAGGAATTGGCTGTTTGTTTTATCATTGTTAGTCTACAAAATTTAAACTCTATAAATAAGCAATGTGCTTTTGATTTTTTTTTTTTTCTAATATGAAACTTTTAGCTCAAGGATTGAAGATATAATTTTTTTTTATTCACTAATATAATGGCCAAAACTTTTTCAACTCAAATAAACTATCGTTATTAATTTATTAATATTCTTCTAAAAAAATGTTTAGAGAGCATATTGAAATGTAGCAAAATGAAATTAAAATGTCATTTTATTATTTGAATATTTTATGATGGAATAAATTAATTTTTTTCATTTCACTTAAATTAGAAAGTATAAAAAATAATGAAAACTGATGGAATGCATTGTATCTAATTTTGTTTCATTCTATTTTTTTTTAATTAATTCAAATAAAAGAACATAAATTTATAACATCGATATCATTACATTACATTCCATCGATCGAAACATACCTTAACAACCAAGTCTTATCTCCTTAAATAGAGTTGGCTACATGAATTAACTTTCATCATAATGTTCTATATAGAATTATACTTTTATTCAAATCGTTAATTTTGAGATTTTTTTTAATTAACTTCTCTTAGTTTTTTTCTAGGTTTTCCTTTATTTCTAGTTATTTGACTTCTTTCCATCTGATCTACTCTCCTTAACACATGATATATAAGACTTCTCTCTATATGCTCATACCACATAAATCTATTTTTCACGATCTTTCCAACTATACATGTTATCCAACACTCTCTAATATTTCATTTTTAATTTTATTCAACGCAGTGTTCTCATCTATGTTACACTTACTTTATTTTCGTGTTGATTCTTAACTGACCAACATTTCGTCACGTACAACATTATAGGCCTTACCGCAGTCCGATAAAAATTTTCCCTTCAACTTTAGTGTTTATCTTTGTGTCACATAAAATCCCTAAAGTCAACCCTTATTTCATCCACTCGGTTTGAATTTTATGGTTACATTTCCTTCTATTTATCTATCGTTTTGTATTACGGATCTAAAATATTTAAACATTGTGACTTTATGGAATGATATGGTCTTCAACTTTTACCTCTAGGTTAGAAACACTTTTCCACTTACATTCCATATACTCGGTCTTATTCTTTCGGGGAAAGTCATGTGTTTCTAAAGCCCGTATCCAAGTCTTCAACCTCTCATTTAAATCCTCATTCAGCTCTCCATGTAAGACTATATCATTTGGTAAAAAAACATTCACATCGTTGTTATCTCTTCGATGTGTTATGTGAGTACATCCAAAATTAAAATTAAAATGTATGGGCTTAGGGTTGAACCTTGATACAAACCTATTGCAATGAAGAAATTGTTTGTCTCTTCACCCTTTATCCGCACACTAGTTGATACCTTTTCATAAATATTTTGTATAACTCGAATATATGTAGTTGTAACATCATTCTTCTTTAAGGTTTTCCACAAAATCTCTAGGCACTCTATCATATGCCTTTACCAAGTCAATAAAAACTAAGTGCATGTCTTGTTGATCCATTTGATCCTGCTTTATTACACGACGTAGTAGATAGACCGCTTCCATGGTCGATCTCCCAGACATAAAATCAATTTGATTCTCAGTGACTTGAGTCTCTTTTTTTAATTTCCATTCAATTACTATTTCTCTTAACTTCATGGTATAACTCATAATTTAATCCCCCTATAATTTTCATAATTTTGTATACCCTCTTATTCTTATAGATTGAAACTAAAGCGTTTCTTATTCATTCATCTAACATTTGTTTTGACCTCATAATTTTATTAAAGAGTTAGGTGAGACACTCAATACTTCTATATCCAAAAAAAGTTTACACTTCAATAGGTATGTTGTATGTCTCAACCATCTTCCTATTACTCATCCTTTTCGATGCTTCTTTTCCCTTTTGTTTCTGAACCCGACGACAGTAATTGTAGTTTTGATCCTTCTCTCTAATGTCGAGCTTGTTAGAGTCCTATGAGATGTCATATATTTCACTAAGTAAATTGTAGAAATATGCCATCAGCTTATCATTCATATATTTTTTTCTGAATCAAGATTGTCTTCTTCATCTTTAACACACTTCACTTTGTCCAAATCTCTTGTATTTCTTTCTCTTCCTTTAACAAGTTTGTATATAGAGTTATCTCCCACCTTGATTCCTAAAAATTGATATAATTTTTCAAAAGTTTAAGTCCTTACTTCACTCACCATCTTTTTAGTCTTATTCTTAATATACTTTTTTTTCAAGTTTCAACATTTTTACACCTAGACTATTCTTTAAAACAATCATTTTCACTCTAACTTTACTTCGAACACTTTCATTCCACCACCACGATTTTTTACTCCTAGGTCTAAAACCTCTTGATTCTCCAAACGTCTCTTTATCTAATTTTTTAATCTTTTTTGCCATCTTACTCCACATATTATTTGCACTTCTATGTGGTTGTCCAAACCCTTCCTCCAAGATCTTGTGTTGGAAACTTCCTTGTTTTTCACCATTCAAATACCACTACTTGATCTATGGCGCTTCAATGTGACTTTTTTTCTTTACTTTTCTCTTAACTCTTACATTCATAACCAATACTCTATAATAGTTAGTCAAGCTCTCTCACAAAAGAACTTTATAGTCCAAGCAAATATTCTTATTTGACTTACTAATAATAAAGAAATCTATTTGAGAGCATGATAACGCGAAATCATATATATATAATGATGTACTTTTCTACTAATCGGCGACCGTTTTCTCTCCGATTTCGGATATTTCCACACTATTTGCCCAGTATTTTGCAGGTATTCAAAGACCATGCTAAAATGGAGCAAGACAAAGAAAAGAAGCATTTACAGGTGAAAATCAGGCCAAAAAGCAGCAAAAACGAGTTCTGCTGATATGACGACCGTCACAGGTCCATGACGACGTGTTGTCAAGTGATGAAAGTGCCAAAGAGGAGTGGACCACTAACTCCTATATTTTCTGATATCATTCCCACTCCCCGAAGAAATAAACCGTTGAATATCCCATCTATAAAAGGAGGTAGCTGGTACCAGAAAAAGGGAGCCGCATTGAAGAGACGAAGTGCTGCCAATTTACTTTCAGAGCAATTTTCAGTTTCCCATTTTCTTATCGTTATTTTATTTCCTTTTTCTTTCTTTCCTTGCAATTGTTGTTTTACTTTCCCATTTCTATTATGTACGAGTAATTGGCATAAAGACTAAATCCTGCCGCCATTTTGGAGGATTTCCCAAAAGCCAAATCGAATTGTTTACAAGTTTCTATTCTAATCGTAAATTGAATTGCTATTTCCCATTATAATGCATATTATTATTTTCTGCCATTATTTACGTGTTATTAATCTATATTCCATGTCTGGCTAAATCTTAAGTAATCGGTATGTAATAAATAATCTGATGGGATTCGATAATTAACCGGTGTATATCTACCTTTTCAAAACTTATTTATGGCTTCAGTTTTTAAATCGACTTTTCTAAATAAACCTTCGTAGCGATAGCGAGAAAT